AGAGCGGTTTCTTTTTTGCGATGTCAGGTCCTCCTCTCGCCACATCATTTCAGAGATGATGAATCTAGGAGTTCTGCTCATACCTGCACTTCACATTAATGTCAGGTTGCAATTAAATGTTCCGGCTAGAAATACGCTCATTTTATGGGTGAGCTTCTCTAAGTCTAAGTGAGTTAAACGAGCTTAGCTACACAATGCTTTTGCTGATGGGAGGACTGAACCCTGGTCAACCGAGTGGCTTATCTAGGAGACCAAGTGCTTTCCCATAATACAGGTCCATTTTCTGTGGGTTGATTACTAACAGAAGCACTTGGCCTGCTGAGCTGTTCAGTGCTTTCTCACCAGTGAATGGCAAACCTTGTGAACAAGTGGTTTTGCATTTCTCCTACCATACTCAGTAATGTCTGATGCTCACTGCAGCTCAAATCCTTCCTACATAGCAGGGACGGGCGAAATGCAGCCTGCGGGCCAGAAGCGACCCACCAAGCCATTCCATCCGGCCCGTGGGGCTCCTAAAAAATTTAGAAAATTAATATTTATCTGCCCCCAGCTGCCTGTCATGCCGCCCTCGATGGCTTGCTGAAACTCAGTAAGCGGCCCTCCACCTGAAATAATTGCCCACCCCTGCTATATAGTCTTCTGGGGTTCGGATCCTTCCCACAATATCTTCAATGTCTGCCCTACTTGCCACAGGACTGAAAATGCCTTTGCTGCTAACTGGTCCTCTGTCTCGCTGGCCCTTTAGCCATGGGACTGAATCATCCCTATGCACTTTGCTCCATCAGCATCCCTCAATCCTCCGCCACCCTTTCCTGCGCCTCTTCTCTCCAGCTTTGACTCTGCAGCTCAGTCCCTCGACTCCTTTCTCTGCTCCTTGGATGTCCAACCTGTGCACCCCTTCCCTTGCACCTCCCTGCTTGCATTCAAGTTCCCTCCTAGCGCTGTGCCTCTTTGGGGCCAGTAGTGACTTTCCCTTCCCAGCCTGCCTCAATAGAGACCATCTTCCTCCTCTTCCCCTGCTCACTGGAGGCCGGCAGTCACCTCACCCATTGTCTGCCTTCCTTCTCCTCTGCCCTGCTCAGAGTGTCTTCAGCTTCCTCCAGAAGAAGTGTCTTCCTTCCATCCCTCCCCTTCGGACATCCTCTCCTCCCCAGTAACTTGGACCATAGGGTTGCCCTTTGTGTTCCTCTCCTCTCCCCTCTATCCCTCCCTTTCAGTGTACAAGCACACAGCAGCCTGATGTTTCCTCCTTGTAACCACCACCCCAGCCCTTCTGTCCATCTCTCATTTTCCTCCTGAGTCGCCGGCACTGCCGAAATCCCTCCCTCGCTCCAGACTCTCTGTGGGATCGCTTCCCGTGCAGCCTTTCTCACTGCTACCCCTTGCCTTGCCTTACAGAGCTCCTCCCAGCTCATCTCCCGAGAGAGGGACGTCCTCTGTTCAAAGGGGTCCACCCAAGTGCCACCCATTTTTGATGATGCTGGGGGTGCAGGTAGTCAGCTCCAGGATCTAGCGGGGACTCTATGAATCCTTCTTTCCCCACATATAAGCAAGACGGGGAAACTGAGGCACACAACATTATTGCAACATGGACACATTTAAACCAGGAAGATGACAATAAAACCCATAGTCCATCCCAGAGGGAAACAAGGTGCACAGGGCTCTGTACAGACACGGGATTGAGGGGTCCGATCTCTCTCCCCTCCGTAACTTCAGCTTCAAAAACCGCTTCTCTCGCCGGCTCTCCGAGCACGTCGCTCCTTTGCCCACGCAGCAGTGAAGATAAAAGCAAATCATCCAGATCACATTGAAAAAGCAATTCCCTGCTTGCAGGGACTGATAAATTAAAAGCTCCTTGGCCTGTGAGTGAAAGGAAGTTTTCCCACACAACGGCTCAGATCACATTAAAGCACTGACAGGCCATCACTTTGTACTTCACTTAAAAATTTAGCCGGCAGCAAAAACGTTACTTAGCAAGGGGAAGAAATCTGCCTGTAATTGAAACTCGCTCCATTGTTGAATTGCTGCTGACACATATAGTTTTCAATTAAAAATTCTCCAGGTTTTAATTCAGTTCTGAAAGACGGACGGCGAGGATGGAAGAGCAGAACTGGTGGCCGGTCTCGGGGACTTCACAGGGATTTGAATTCATGGGTCTTGAATTTGCAAATAGCAACAGGACTTTTTTATTTCTCCCAGAGTGCTCTTTCTCCCAGGGTTTTTGCACAGTCTTGCAAGAGTCCCTTGAAGACATGGATGGGAGACATAAGGGTTGCCCCCCACCACCATGTCATTCTGGGGTGCACCCACCTCTGGGGAGGTTGCCGCAGATATTCAACAGCTCACAGCAATGCTACACTAGCTTAGGTCTATGCATCTGAAGCTGCGGGGGGGAATGTTATATGGCATGTGCTGCGTAGAGCTGTCTACACTGTGCTGGTTCAAGGATGCTGCTATCCCCTTCAGGCAAAGCGCTGCTGATACGGGCACTAGTAAACTCTGATTTTCTTCCAACAGCAAAACCAGCTACATTGGTAACCTCCCAGTTTTGCTAATATAGCTGCCCTTACACTTGGGTCTTGTATTAGCCCAGCTCTGTTTTTTTTCATAGACATTATTCATAGACATTGGGGCTGGACGGGACGTCGGAAGATCATCGAGTCCAACCCCGTTGTCAGGGACCAGCAGCTCAGATTGGCATAGCTCAGTTAGCACAAGTCTGCAGTGTGGAGCTGCTCTGGGTTAAAATTAATGTCATTATTAGAGTAGGGATTTGGCCAGACCCAGAGATGAACAAAGCACAGGATCCTTACAGAGTGCGGTCAGGTTTATACCTTATCCAAAACGCAACAGCAGCACTGGAGAGATCTCAAACAGCAAAGAGATTGAAAATGCACCTGTATGATTGCTTCGGTGAAGGTACTGGGATCTGCACACCCAGCTTGTAGCCCAATGGAGACACCTTCAGACCAGCCTGTCAGCAATTTAGCATTTAGTCTGGAAGCCAGATGCAGAGGGAACAACTGCTTCTGCAATTGGGAGCATCAGTGTTTGCACCATGAGAGTTGAAGATGCTTTGTTGGTGCTTCAAAGGCATGAGTTCAAGTCTCGCTCCCAGCTCTCTGACAGTGGCTGCTCCCCTTTGACCCAGGGGCAGCTGGTTAGTTGGTCATTTGGATCAGGGCATAACCTGTGGGATTTAGGCCTTCCTAGTCGTCCAATCCAAAGCCAGTCCCTGTTTAATTACTGCATCCCAGCATACACATGACTATAAGAGAGAGCAGTCCTGAGGGCTCTCTGAGCAACTGATGGCATTGCTGCCTTGTGAGCCGGTGCCTGCACATTACCCATGTTGGATCAATGAGCTGCTAGGCATGGGCGCATCTTTGACCTCTGGAGTGCACCGACTGCCTTGCCTGCAATGGTTTACAGTGTAAATAGATGCTACAAAAGGAGCATCGTTATCCCTGGTTTGACGGCCAGGGAGCAGCGGCACAGGATCTAGAGCAGAGCCAGAAGCCACAATGTGGTACTTGCAGAGCTGAGCGCTTTGGAAGATGCTGGTGCTACGTGACATGCCTAAGGCCATGCAGGGAGCCTGTGGCAGAGCCAAGGCTTGCTGTGCTGGCCCCAGCTCCCAGTCCAGTGCCTTAGCCTGAGACCGGCCTTCTTTCCTTGCCTCACAACAGCTTCACTTTGAGTGCTGAAAGGGCCCCGCTTTGCTTGCCTGCTCACTCGGCAGCGAGTCCTGAGCATCTGATGCTAAGGTTTCCTCCAGCACCCTCCTAAGGGGCCGGTACAGGCAGCCGGGGCATCAAATACAGCTCCCCCTGAGCAGCAGGATTGCAATCCCTTTTTGCAGAGAGAGACTTTAGGCCCAAAAACAAAGTCAACCTTCCCAGCCCCTTGACCCAGGTGATTCTTGAAAGTCCCTCAGTGCCACCAAAGCTCCTTAGGGAAAGGCTATTGTGGGTCCCTGTCCCCCCCACTCACCTGGGGGGTGGGGGGCAGCTAATTAGGCACAGGTGAGACAAATCTTGCCTCCCTTAAAGGTCCGGCCACACTTTGACACTGCAGTGCAGGGGTAGCTGCCCTGTAGAGGCTAAATGCCAAGGTTGCCTTTGTGTCTTGCAATGCTTTGGTTTGTACCTTGCAGCTTACCTGCAAAGCTCTGGGGTGAGAAGGCTACAGGCTGAAGCTGGTTCTTGGTGGCTGCGAATGATCCAGCACACAGAATCACCCCCATCCCCAGTGAAACAGCTCATTACTCCCAGGAGGAGCTCATTTAAATCAGAAAACCTGATTTATTTGAAGGCCAGCCCACCCTGTGAGAAGCTACTAGCATTTACAGCTGGTGCTGGATCCACTCTGGACCCTGTAGCCATTGGCAGCATGCTGTCCTAAGGTGAGGTACTCCCATACTGACATCCCTGGGTTTATAATGTGCCTGAAGGGTGTGGGCGAAATAAAGATATGCTAGACTTAACCATCATGAGTGCACCAGGTCATCCTCTCCCATGAGCTCAGCCAGAACAGTTCCCTCGGGCGCCTGTGTCTGAATTCTTCTCTGGTTGGGATGGATTTTTTTTCCCCTGCAGAAGAAATGGGTTGGCTCTGGTCCCCAAGCTTGGCAGGTCCTTCTGGGCCTTATAAGATCTACTGGTGGGGGGCGGGGGGGACGTGACCATCCGTACTGATGAGCACTGCTCTTAGCTCTGGTCCTTCTCAGACTGATGCCAGCTCTCAGGCCCCTATCCTGGTGCCTTACTGTGCACCTCTCAGTTCCCCTGTGTATAAATTGGGGCAATAAACCACTACCTACTTCCCAGGTAGGCAATAGCACCTTTGTCTTTGGGGCCATATAGATCTGATCTCTCTGCTGAGTTGATAGTGCTGATGGAGTTACGGTGAGCAAGCTGGTCCCAGCATCTCCGAGTCACTTGGAAATTGCTCTCGCGTTCAGTTTTAAAAGAGAAATGGATGCAGACCCCAAGCTCTCAGCTGATTTATCCAGCAGATCGGGGAGAGAAATCAGAGCCCTTCTTATCTGCAGCAGTGCCAGGGAGCAGCTCTTTGAAACAGGTAGCACGCTCTTGAGCCTTCCTTTCATCTAGGAGGGATCTTGCTGTTTAAAAAGTTTGCTGAAAATCTTGTCCTCCTTCTTGATTTATTTCCCTCTCCCCCAATTTGTACAGCACAAACAAGAGGCTATTTCTGGCCCACACCATCAGGAGCCCAGTTCTTCCCTTTTGCAGCACAGTGGAGGGGAGTCGGCGGCAGAGATGAATCTGGCTCTGGGCCTGGGGAGCATGGGCATCCAGCACTGCACAGATCCCAGCTGCACGAATCCTGTTATCGGGCAGCTGCAGTGATGCCCACTGCATTCCCTGCTCCCCCTGGCCCAGCTAGACCTAGTCTTCCTGCCAGGCCTTGCCTCATGTTGTTCTGAGTCCCCAGAGGTAGGTTGGGTAGGGGGTGTGCTTTCCTCCACCCAGACTATCCAGTCTGGTCCCTGCAGTGCCAGCAGCCAGGGTGTCATCGCTGGCAGTCCCTTGGTACAAGGATGACAGTCTTCCAGTAGAGAGGGAAGTCACTGGTGGGTCCAAAGAGGCCAATCCAAGACCTGCAGATGTGGCATATAGTTCTGGGAGGAAGGAGTGAATCCTGGTTCTTTCCCTTTGTCTCTCTTGCCTATCCCCCTGCATCATAAGGCGAGTTCGCTCAAAACGGTCGATGCCTGGTCATACTTCATGGCACCATTGGGACAGTTCAGGGCTTGAGTCTCCCAAGTCTGGAAGTTAATATGCCACTTCTTCAAAATGACATACAAAAAACTAGAACTTCTTCAGAATGGCTTTCAAGGGGTCCTTGAATCTCTTCTTGTGCCCACCTCCAGAGCGGTGACCACTGTTGAGCTGGGAGTATAGGACCTGTTTGGGGAGCTGGTTGACGTGCCCTGTCCAACGGGGCTGGTAGCATATAAACTTGGCTTCGGTGCCAGGGGTTGTCATCGGGGGTTATCGGTGTCACTACTGCTGTTGCCTGTGTCAGATATTACTGATGTGCTGTCAGTGATGAAGTCTCGGGAACTGCGATGTCGCAACCAAGAGATCCCAACGCCAATCTTGCCTTAAAGATCGCCCACAGGCTCAGGTCAGTGCAAAGATTTGGCCAAGTTTATTATCTACAAGCAAAGCCCTAACATTTTTGGCCGGTTCTGGGAGCTTGGCCTAACAAGTACATCAGACCAGGAGCTAAGGCATTGTGGAGTGATGCCCGGAGTCTAAAAAGGTTGAAATCCCCTGCCACGGACAAACCTTTAGCCCATTCCCAGTATAAAGGGGAAATCTATGATTCTAGCAGGCACTGTAAAATAGGGCTGGAAGGGACCTCAGGGGGTCACATCTAATCCAACCCCCTGCTCAAGGCAGGACTATGCTTACCCAACCCATCCCATTCAAGTCCTTGTCTAACCTAGTCCTAAGAGTGGACAGTAAGCTGTGTTAGGCAAATTGCCTAAAAACACTAGTAGCATCCTAGCTTGCTATAGGCAAAGCAGGGGGATGAGGACACTGTCACTGTCCTGCCACTGCAAGGAGGGGAAATGGTAGTTAAAATATACTGGGAGGATCCAAAGAAGAAGACCACGCCACCCACTATAGAAGAAGAAAAATCCCTCACAGCCCATGCCGGTCTGATCATGGGGTAAAATTCATAAATGTGGTGATTGGTCTCACATGGAGATATGGGGCGAGAATTTCTCCAGGTTTAAGTCCCAGCAGAAGCACTGGCACACACCAGCCCAAATCCCCAGCCTTGGCTGCAGCCGATGCTCGAAAGGTTGGGTAAGGTGGGGAGGGGGGAAAAAAAGAATCTGATGCCTCTAGCGATAGGAGGAGGAACAATTTCTTCCCGGCCCCATGTGGCAACCAGCAAAGCCCAGAAAGCTGGAAACGACCCAGCAAGGGCTTGACTTCGTTGACCGGGGCTGTTTATTGTGGGACAACCCGGACACAAGAGCTGTCCTGAGGCAAACCAGAGTGAATGCAGTGCTTTGCAGTGAAACACAAGCCAACTAGATGAGGATTCCCCAAAGGCATGGGATATAATGTTGTCCCTGCCCAGCTCCCTTGCAGCAGACCTTTCCAGTGTCTTGTCTCTGCTTAAAGCAATCAGGGCTCATGGACAGAAGTGATGTCTTTTATTAGACCAACAAGATTTTTGCAAAAAAAAATTTCTTTGGTTGCAAGCTTTCGGGCACGAACACCCTTCATCAGGCATTGGAGAAAAGATTGTCAAAGTTCTCCTGGGTAAAAATGCAAGTTCATATTTCCTAGGATTTCACAGAGGGGTCAATGGGTGGACAAACCTGCTGGGCAGCAGTTCTCATCTATTGACCCCTCTGTGAAATCCTAGGACATATGAATTTTCAAGACTGGACAAGCACCTCGCTAGGGTCGTCTGACCCCAGTGCTCTTTCCTGCCCAGGCAGAGGGTCGGACTCGATTGATCTGTTGAGGTCCCTCCCGACCCTACATCTATGAATCTTTCAACTTTCATTTCTACCCAGGAGAACTTTTACACTCTTTTCTCTGATGAAGGGTGTTCGTGCTCAAAACCTTGCAATTAAAGTTTTTTGGGGGTTTTTGCAAAAATCTTGTTGGTCTAATAAAAGATATCACCTCTGTCCACGAGCCCTGATCGCTTTTTCCTCTCGACCAATCCAGCTACAACCTGGATACCTTGTCTCTACTTATGATTTCGTGGCCAGATAATAACTGTTGGGTGTTTTGTTATCTTGCTGTGACAAAACCTGTCAAACGAGAAAGCTGAGCAGTGGGTGGGTGGAAGAAATCAAAGGTAGAGGCAGCATGATCAGATGGCAGGGGCTCAAAGGAGGGAGTTCAGGGAGGCTTTTGTAGATCGGCACAGCAGATGTTAGCTATGAGGGGGGCTGCTTTTTGCTAGGTTTGGCTATACCTTGGGATGTTTCGGGTCAAAACTCAGGAGCTGGAGCCGCATTTTGAATAGAAGATCGTCCGGCAAAAACCAGGTGATACAGGAGAGAGCACTCTCCAGCCATAACAGTAGCATCAGCCCCACAATTTTGTACAGAGCCTTTTCTCCCCTGGACTTCACAACACCTCACAAAAGAGATCAGTGTTATTCATCCCATTTTTACAGCTGGGTAAGCTGCAGTTTGCCCATCTGTACAACACCGATCATGGTAGCCGCCGTGCTTTGCACGGCACGTGGAAATCTAGGAAACGAAAAGGATGTTTTCCATGCACAGCCAAGCATTAAAATTGCAGCAAAAAAAGCAAACAGTATTTCAGCTGTAATGAGATAATTGCCCCTTTCAGTCCCAGATCTTACCTAATGACAGGACCAAGCTGCTGGTTTAATTTTGTTCACTCCCAGTGACCATCAGCATGTGAAACCCAGACAGGGGAAGCGTACACATCTCAGCACCCCTTGCAACAGCTCTGTCGGCAAAGGACCGGCCAGACTGTAGCTGCCAGTTTCTCCCGGCAGCGTGAATTTTTTTCTCATTGCCATCTCATTTAAACTCCATAACTTTTATTGTTTTGGTCCCTAGAGGTCAAATGGAAAGAAATGGCAGATTGTCGGGCAATTCATTTTATTCGCTATAATAACATTTAAATGGGCCATAAAGACAAAGTGTGATGCTGCATGTCTGAGCATGGCCCTGGGCCGTGTGTATCTTTTGTGATAAAAGCTTTGTTATCCTGGCTTCGCTGAGCTATTCACTTTAATATATTGCCAGCTATGCAGGAGATAAGAGCAAGCTTTATCTCTGAATTATGTGGCGAGGGAGGTGAGGGGTTTTTTTTCCTGCCTATGAAAAAGAATGATTTTGTTTCTGCAGCATCTAAGCACTTGCCTTAAAGGTGGCTGCACTTTGCATGGTTATACATGTTAATATAGATCTTGCTATTCTTAGCCTGGTTTTGTGTTTTTGGTTGGGTTGGGGGGTTTTTTTGGGAGGGGGGTTGGTTTTTTGGGTGGGGGTTGTTTGGTTTTTTGTTTTGTTTTTTTTTTAAGAAAAAAAAATTATCACCATGCCGCAAGTTTTTGGTCATGGAGTTTTGTCCCCAAATCTGATACCAACTTTCTGTGTGACCTTGGGAAGACCACTCAGATTTAAGTAGAGGGCAGGACAAGGTGGCACCTTAGAGACTAGCTGGTTTAGAAAGGCATCAGCTTTCATGGGTGACGGGCTACTTCAGATCATCACTCAGCATGCCAGAAATAGTATCGCGCTCCATGAGCTGTTACCTGTTTTGGTAGAACCACATCTGGGCTGAAGAGCTGCTTCGGGTGCATCTGGTCTTTTAATCTTAATTTACCCCAGCATGTAAAATCAGACCTGGATTCATCTACATTGCTTTGAGGCAAGGGGGGAATTAGCTGTTGTCTTTTATTTCTTCTACATGTAGAATGACCTAAATGAGGATGCTGTTAAATGAAGTGGAGATCGTAGGACAGTCAGGCTGGCAAGGACCTCACAAGGTCATCTAGTCCAGGCCCCTGCTCGAAGCAGGATCACCCCTGACTGAACCAACTAAATCACAAAAAGGAAGCTTATAAGAAGTGGAAACTTGGACAAATCACTAGGGAAGAAGATAAGAGCAGTGCTCGGGCATGCAGGGATGAAGTCAGGAAGGGCAAAGTGCAATTGGAGTTGCAGCTACAAGGGACATGAAGGGTAACGAGAAGGGTTTCTCCAAGTATGTCGGTAGCAGGAGGAGGATCGGGGAAAGTGCAGGTCCCTTACTGAGTGGGGGAGTCAACCTAGTGACGGAGGATGCAGAAAAGGCTGAAGTGCTCAATGCCTTCTCACCAGGGGCAAGTCATGCCCAACCAACCCAATTGCCTTCTAGGATGAGATGACTGGTGCTGTGGATGTGGGGAGACAGGTGGATATGGTGTACCTTAACCTTAGCAAGGCTTTTGATAAGGTTTCCCACAGCAATTTTGCAAACAAGCTAAAGAAGTATGAGCTGGATGAATGCACTGTAAGGTGGACAGAAAACTGGCTGAATTGTCAGGCTCAGAGTAGGAATCAATGACTCAATGTCTAGCTGGCAGCTGGTGTGAAGTGGAGTGCCCCAGGGGTTGGTCCTGGGGCCGGTTTTGTTCAGTGTGTCTTCATCAATGACCTGGAAGATGATAGAGTGCACCCTCAGCAAGTCTGCAGATGATGCCAAGCTGGGGGAGTAGTAGATACGC